GGAAGAGGATGTATAACTAGTAGAAGGCACACGGCCCCATAGGGGTGTGGGACGATGCGCGTCTCTTACAAGGAAGGTCTTTCAGGACATGGAGCGCTTTTTCGAAACGGTTTCTGCATGTTGTAGGGGCTCATGCGAGGAACACAGAACCATGATCCATTTTTCCTGAACGCCTCCAGGAATGTCAAAACAGTGGTGAAGAAATGGTCCAGAGTTCGATCCCCGGTGATGACTAATTTTTGCAATATAGTTTGGCCCCAGATTGCCGCCAAATGGCGCCATCGTCGAGAATAGATGTCATTGTCGTGTTTTGCGGCAATTTGGAGGCGCCAACATAAATTGCAAAAATTTGTCATCACGGAGGATCGAACTTTGGACCATTTCTTCCCGCTGTTTTGACATTCCTGGGGGCGTTCAGGAAAAATGGACCATGGTTCTGTGTTCCTCACATGAGCCTCTACAACATGCAGGAAACCATTTTGAAAAAACGCTCCATGTCCTGAAAGACCCTCCTTGTAGTTTAGGGTATGCCCTAGCTAGCAGAGTCGCACCGCTTGAGTCACTGCACTCCTACCGATTGGCTCACTCTCGCCGTCTGCCTTTAACCGTTCTCGCACAGAGAGCATTAGCGTTGATAGGGTTACCACCAATGAGAACTGCGTAACGCGCTAGTCAGCATGCAAAAAAGGTCTCAATTGCTGAGATATAGGATCGTTTTTCGCTTTCTTCTTCATCCCTGTATCAGTGACCACCTTTACCTCGAATACCAATGCTGTCTTTTCATCGTAAATTCCGCCTTCAAGCTACGCAGAATCCGTCGCAAAGCCTCCAAATAGCTTCATTTGTTAACGCGCGCGCGAGAAATTAAAATCAGTCAGAGCTCATATATTAAATTTATTAGACAAGTCGCTATCTATGTGAACTATTTTAGTGAAGCATTGGAGCGGAAGAAGACTGAGTCATTGATGAACGCCATAGTGGAGACGGGATTTTGGTCAAACGACAGCCGTGGAGCCCGAGTTCAGCTTATGTTTCCGGCTATTTATAAGTTGTCCTGCGCCATGAATGTGAGTACATTACCTACAAATCACTAGTTCCTTCACAACAATCTGCCAAACTTCGGTTTGATTCGGCATAAATATGCGGTTTCAGTGAAGAGGTTTTTTTGCCGACTCAGGGTTTTGAGATGGAAAGCGGGTTCTCAAACATTTACATCTAATTACACACGTTTCTGTGTTCTGCAGCAACGTCCATCCCTGATTTTATCAGCAGGATTTTGAAGGCTCAAATGTCTCATGTGGATTACAGCGCTGTGCAGTCAGTGGCATTCTGAAAAAGATTTGGCCCACAAGCATGCCTCGCGGCTCAAAAAATACAGTGTGTGTCTGTTCTGTCAGACGAATAGACAGACCCTCAATGGATGAAGGTTGATTAGCTTGGGTGGGATTTGAGCTAGAAATTGATATCGGCGTTGCGCATGTGATAACTGGCATCGCTTGTCAGTGCACCACGTCGCCCTCTTTCCAGCTTACTGTTGATTTATTTACAGCCTTTAAGAAAGTTGAAAATATCCGAAGATATGAATACGCGTCATGTTGACCTCAACTCTAATTGGGAGCTAAATTTGTTTAAAACAGAGAAGCTCCAAAAGTTTTATTCCAAAAGAATTCCAAAAGTTCACAAAAGTCCAAATACTCCAAAAAACGAGCCAAAAAATTTTTTTGAAAAGAATTCCTTTGGAAACTTCCGCGATATTTCGGTGTATAACACCTTCTTCAGGCCTGAAATACATTGATTATAACTTGTATAATTATTTTTAGTGGTTTCCCTAATCCCCGTAGGTACTTACATGGAGTTGCCTCTGCCAAGGATGAAGCTACCCTTACGGGAGCCGCGCCGATGGAGTAGAACAGAATGACTTGCCCCTCACCCTCTTGCTTAAATAGTAGCGGACGTACTGTGACGGTCATTTTATGTGATAATAAAAATGACGTGACGTTGAGCACGTAGTTAATTTATTAGTTGTAGAGCGTCACGTAGTTCGTCCTTACTATTTATTTCGGGTGATAGTTTTCTTATTTCTAATGCCTCCAATAATTTCCTTTCCACCGGGTTCTCTATGGAGCGGTGTAATACTTTAACGACTAATGTGGGGGGGGGGGGTTCTCCATAGGCGTGTTTTTTTGGTGCTTGGAGAAACCTAGGAGATCTATTGGGGCATTATGGGAGCATGTAAGCGTAACAAACAGTGTTTTCCAATGGTTTTTGATAGGATTGCAATGGTTTCCGTACGATTCGCAGAACTGTACGTTCATTATCTCGAGTTGGACTCATGACAAAGCGACGATTGACTACTGGGCCACGTATCCTACTGTGAATTTGAAGAATATGGCCCGGAACGACGAATGGGAAGTGCTCGGATTCGAGTTCGAAACGGTCGAGGTAAGGGTAAAACCTCTTGTAGAAATATTGTCCTCAGATTGCAACCGTTAGTCTGAAACTATTTGATGGCCTGCACTGTGTGAATATGAGGCCTGACCTGACCGAAATCTTCTATTCATGACCATCCCTGATAGTCGTCGGACTATCGCCTGGCAATTTTGATTTGAGCGGACAAATAATGGCACTTAATGCCATACCATAATGTTTTTGACTGTTACCGTTGAATGCCTCCTTAGCATTTGACAGTGTGCTAGAAAACCAACGTAAAGCAAATATTCCATCCCGCTATTGTTGATCCAGGGGCCTCACAGTGCTCATGCTGTTCTTGTCAGCCCTTCTCCCTGTCCAGAAGCGATCGTCAACGACCTGCCTCACTTTAATGAGTTTCCTCCGCATTACGCGCATCCTGCAAACTCTTGCAACTCGTTGATGCCGTGCTCTAGGTTTTTGCATGTCTAGTGCCCTCCCTACCGGATGATGCATGTTGCCTCCTTAGCACATGTCCATGCCATCATAGCCGCTGTTCCCGCACCTACAAAGGGAAAGAGGCGATCTGCATGCGGAGCTCATGTTGAGTCTTTGCCAGACTTTTTGTTATGAAGATCTCGTCTGCTGCTGCTATTAGGGCGATGTCGTCCGCGCAGAGTATAAAAATTCCCCGGAATGCTTCAAACATCCGCTTCGTAATTCTTAAGGCGGCTAACTTATCCTTACCGCGCCTGCACTGCGTATATCGCACGCGGTGACGCACTGCGCGAGGTGACTTTTGCCATTCCTGAAGATACCTACCCTTCCAGGAAGTATTACTTCAATTTCATGCATATCATGCCCAAAGCTTTGACACTATCATCGGCTCTATACACTTCGACCGATCAAGGCTCTCTTTTCAGCAAACCTTTAAATGTTGTGTTAACCCATGGGTGCTGCTCTACGCACATTTGGTGATCCGACGGAAGCCACTATACTACGTTATTAATCTTGTAAGTCCTTCAAACAGTCCTCTGTTGTATGTCGGGACATGATCGGGATGGGTTACAGGTGATTCCGACGTCTATCATCACCGTTGTGGCTATCACTGGTTTCTTCACACCCACATCGAGCTCCAGTGAACGTGACGAGAAATTGTCAGTTTTTGAAACTTCATCGTAGACTTCAATTTTTATTTAGCATTTTCCAATTTGGTAGTTTTCTTACTACATTTTATTATGTTTTTTCTTTCGAGTTTCTATCATTTAATTCCTAGTTTTACTGTGCTTATTTTATTTTCTATCAACGTCGAGTTGAGTGTTTGAGAAGAGCCCTCGAGCTGATTCTATTCACTTGGTGACTTTCTATTTTCCTTGTCTGCCAAATGGTATGACTTCTTATCTGGATAAATAAATAACTCAATAAATAAAATTATTTATTGAACTATTTGTTTAGCCTATGTGGCTACCTGAATAGCCCAATAAATCGATCGACGGATACATGATTTGTGAATTATACAATGATTTGACTCATTCACCGCAATAGAGCTGGAGGCGGCTGCTCTGAAGAGCGCCATAGTTTTCGTGCGTCCCGACGGATTGTTCTGCCACTTCGCGGCCGCGCGCGTCATGAACTGGGTCATTTCTGAGCATCTCATTTTTTAACATTGCCTCTTATATGACTTTTCTTGCTACTGGCTTCCCATTGTTATTTTTATCTTGCGATTGAAATGTCGACTTTTTGATAATCGGGTTTTGGGTCTATTCCGATCGGGAGGGGGGGGGGGTATCTTGATACGGTTTCTCGTATAACTAGTGTGAACTCGAACATTCGAGCTTTTCACGCATGCCAAGTGGCTACCACCCTTACCCACCTCTGTAGACTGGCTACACTCCCCTGGCTCGGAGTTACCCTTGCTTCTTGGGAGAACTGCATCATGATGCCCCCTTACTGGAATAGATCCCGGATTTTTGTTTGAAATATACCAACTGAAAGCTGAAGAGGTCGTGCTCCTAACTATTTATCGGTAGTTATTGACTTTTTTGATCGATTTAGTTTTTTCTTCTCGATCAGTTGTCACAGTTTTGTGTTATTTTTATTTATAATTTTTACGTTAATATAATATCTCATCAAGGTATCTCGGTATCAACACTCTTCTCACGATGTCGATTATGATGTTGATGGTATGTAATCAGATGCCGTCAACCTCGTCATATGTACCCTTAATGAGTGGGTATTTTTGAGTTTTATTCCACTATTTACCAAATTTTGAGGTTAACACTGGAGATTGTTTTCCACTGTATTTCATCTCATGAAGGATTTAATATGTATTTGCAGGCTGGTATTATCTGGGAATTATCATTGTTATCGTGCTCGGAACTCTCATGGCTACAATAGTTTTAGGTACCGTTTTGATCTTTCATAGCGTCAGATAGTTGGCTCATGTATTCGCTCTTGTATGCTTCCGTTTCTTGAATGATTTGTTGGCAGGACTTGGATCCCGCATTCTTTCCCTGCATTGGGGCATAATTAGTCGTAGAGAGGGCTCGCCGGTGTCGTGTTTAGAGAGCACGTGGTATTCCGTCTGTTAGAGAATGAAAGTAGAAGCTGCAAGAGGTGCGCGGTGGGCTTAGTGACAGACTTTGCGAATTCAAGCAGCACGGCAAAAAGCAAATTGCACGAAGATTCAAAGTTTGGAACTCTGGCCTTGAAGAAACGCGAAGGCGCGTAACACGGTCCAAAAGCCCTGCGATAGTCTCAGCGCCCTTCTGACGTCATTAGGACTGGAGGTCGGCTCTGCCTCTTGCTTGAACGGCTAACTCTGACGGCGAGGGACCAGTGGCTGGAATAGCCATTAGAGGACGCGGACAACCAGGAAATTCACCGCCCGGGGATAAGGCTCTGTTAAACCACTGCGAGCGCATTCGCGTGCAAGCGAAACGCAACCTTGTCGCGTTCCTTCTGCAGGCGCTGCTTCCTCTACGTATAGGAACTGTATGTCCCCGGAGTTATCGCAAATACGGCCATTGCCATGGGCAGTTGGCATCTCGGAAGCGCGTTAAAAATCTTTTCTCCAATTGAAAAGAGACTAAGCTTCACCGGAGAAAGGAGACTCATAAGGTCTGTGCGCGAGAAAATTTCAATTTTTTCCCAAAGTCCTTGTCCTTCCCTAGACTTATTCCCGCAGGATGCCCCCATACCTTGCAACAGTGCCCTCTTCTTTGACCCCAATTTCATCGTACCATGTGCCTATTAGTAGCAAATCTCCGGGAAATAGAGCAGAGAAGGTTTGTTGATTTGGATTGAATGCATAGACGCAGCGTTTATTAGTTCGTGGTGCATAAATATCACGCAAGGCGATGCTGCACATTTTGTCAAGACGTTGTGGCCTGTCAGGCCTGGTTAACACCTTGGAGCCCATGCAGCCCATATGTGGGCTGCAGTCCGTCGACCACGTAGGACCTTTCAGCTCACATTTCGGAAACAATGCCAAGTTTTTCTTTTGCTTTCTTTTCCGTTGCATTCGATAAGGATTCTTCTGCATCACCCAGTAGAATTTCTTCTCAGTTTTGCTTCGATAACATTCCTAAAAATTTCACTGAAGTCCTACGTCGCCGAAAAACGTGAAACATGCGCGGTCTCCAAAGTGTTAATCGTAAACTAATGCTTCCACTTATGGAAATCGCCGTGCGGCCGTCTGGTCACTTAGCGACTTACTATTTCGCCGATAATGGGACTGAAGAAGGTAAAAAGTGTTTGGCCAGGTTGAGACTCGTGTCAGACCCATAAATTGATAATTCATAAATCTGGGTGGTGCTTTCCTTGATAAGTAGTAAGGAAAAAGGTAGTGGTAAAGGGCGAAAAGTTTGACAGCCATTCTTACCCTTGATTCAGAAGGCTATTTGAATAACGGCTTTGCCGCTTCTGATGCATCTTTGTCTAGTTCCGCTCGAGAATCCTTTTTGATTCATATTCAATTGATATTGATTTTGTATATTTCTTGCAACAAAAATTTAAAATTCAAAAAACCGAACTTTTAGCGATCCACGGTCAGAAGCGCCATAATCGTCCACTATCGCGATGGGCTCGTAACTTGGTGCTCAATCGTTTCGTCGACACGTTTATTCTGAAGCCGCCATGCGCTCTCGTTGACTTATGGAGCGAATTTGGTATTATTGAAGAGCGTCGTCTGTCGATGTCGAAGCTTGATCCGCTTCTTTTGCAGCAGCTCGATCCAGTTTCGGTAGGCTATTTAGTTCTTCTTCAATATACTCGAGTCGAAACGAGTGAACAGTCAAATTTTCGAGTCACAATTGAAGAAATGGTCATATGAACAGATAAGGAAAAGTATGCTTTCACCAGATTGGCTACACACACTAACGCGTGCGTAGCATTGAGCTCGAACAATATGAAATGAGTGTCACAATTTTCGATTGTAGCTCCACCCTCCTCGGTGCACGACACGCCCATATGCGCGTTTGACCTCTTTTCGGTCGCTCCTCCTCAGATTTTCTGAATTTATTTTTTCCGATTCCGGGCTGTTTCGTAGCCAACATGAAGAACTCTTAATGAAGATGATATGTATGCAGAATGGGGACTAGATCCTTTTACCCCTTTCACGCTTGAAAGAAGTGGTGGCGATAAATCTCATGGGGACGAATGGGAAGCTTACATAGTTATCTTATCTTCGATCGCAGAGGATTCCAGTGGACTCCCTCCATTTCATCCATGCAGCGTTGACTCGAGCCTTCACTGCCTGATCCACACCACCGTCGGCTGCCAGATCGCTCCCAAGGTAGCGGAAGTCCTCCACTCTTTCGATGGTCTCACCATGGCCGTCCACGATCGGCTCTGCACCCTCTTCGGAGCTCAGGAACTTGGTCTTCTTGACATTCAGCCGGAGCCCACCTTCTGCCAGGACTTTCTGCCATTTCTGCACCTTGGCTTGAAGTTCCTCTCTGCTATCCGCTATCAGGCGATGTCGTCAGCGTAGAGGATGGTCTTCAGTGGTCCTTCCATGAGGCCCTTCACCATGGTATCGAGTGTTAGGAGGA